TATATAGAGTCATTTACGTTTGAAACGCCCAGGAAAACATTCCGAAACCTTAGTGTCATTTACGCTTGAAACGCTTATGAGAACGTTACAACACAGTAGTGTCATTTATCTTCGAAACTCATGAAAACATTAACGACACATTATTGTCATTTACGTTCGAAACGCTCATGAAAACATTACGACCCATTAGTGTCGTTTACTTTTGCACCTGTCACGAAAATCGTGTAACGTCATGACGTGCGACTCAGCGTACTAACTCTAATACGACACTATATACCCATCAACGACACACGGATTCCAATAAAGATACTCAGCTACACGACAATTGAGAGTTAGACACTAGTAGACACACAGTATGACGAATAGTGATAAACACCGTTCGTACATATTCGACATGCGCATATCCTGTACGTGGATTGTGTGAAAGGTTGGCGTGGGTAGTCTGAGTACTGATCTCGTACCACGTGACTATCACCGATCAATCGAATCGCGTGAAGCCGCTGCTGACGTTCGATTTATGCAGCCGCAGCCGCAGCCGCAGCACGCACTCACCTGAGCTCTCGGGTTGTTCATGGACTCTCCGGTTTGCGCTGCGTATTTTATTCTGCTTACGGGCATGCCGTTTCCGGCTTCCGGTGCGCATGCGCCGTCCTTGTCGCATGACGTCATCGGGACGTTGAAGACTTCGATCGGACACGTCTTATCCATTCCGTGCATTATTTCGTACGCTACGACCTGACCTGCGAACGCGGTAAGACCCGTTGCTATGACAACGCTTCCGCCACGTCTCGCTAGAGAACATCATCCCGACGTCATCGAGATGCTTAGATAACGGTGACGTCACCGTGACGTAACGCGAACATTACCAGACCGTGCTCCGACGGCGTTTACCCGATGTTTGCGTCCAACGGAATGAAAACCAGTTGAACTAGTTAACACACGTATATACGTGTGCTCGAAGCGTACTGGCTGAAATCTATCATAGATCTCGCGGGTAAGGTAAAACTCACTGAGATACGCGTGTGAATGGAGGAAGTGGAGAATGCGCTAGAGGTGGTTTGGATGGGCGAGCGAGGTCGGCTGGTTAATCGAAAACGCAATATATAGTATAGCAGAAGTGAATAATAATAGATCTATTATTATTCACTCCTGGTGATAGTTAATATTTTAACGAGAGAAACACTTTACCCTGCGCTCGATCACTTACACGTGGATATAGTAGTTATTATTTTAACGAGAGAAATACTTTATGATCAGCGAGTATGGTGGCCCAATGTTATATAAGTTTATCACAGGTCTTCGACGTGGTCCACTCTTATAATACATAAACATAACCATATAACGCTGAAGTATGGTGGCCCAGTGTTATAATAGTTTATCACAGGTCTTCGACGTGGCCCACTGTTATAATAATAAACATAACCATATAACGCTGAAGTATGGTGGCCCAGTGTTATAATAGTTTATCACAGGTCTTCGACGTGGCCCACTGTTATAATAATAAACATAACCATATAACGCTGAAGTATGGTGGCCCAGTGTTATAATAGTTTATCACAGGTCTTCGACGTGGCCCACTGTTATAATAATAAACAT